TAGAAAAAGCGTTTAGTTTATCATTAGAAAAAAACTGTTTCTCAAAATAAAAAATTAGAAAACTTTTGGTTTAAAAACTTTTGAAAATAGTTTTATGACTTTTTTTTTAAATTAATTTTATTAGTTAGTAAAACATATCAATTTTATGCTAACATATCAATTTTTTAGTGTTTTCCAATGAAAACACTGAAAACTTCATTTTGAGTTATATTTTATAAAATTTTCCTTGTTTTGAAAAACGCATTTTTGAAAATAACATAACAAACACGTTTTGCATGTTTTAAAAAGAAAATTGAAAATGGCCTCAAAACGACAAATCTAATGCACTCTTCTTTTTTGCTACAATGCATTCCATGACAAAGTCACGAGTCCAAGCTTGTGCTTACACTTTACACTTTCCAGTGGGCCATTTTGTTGGATATAGCATGTTCAAGAGGCTGCGGAATCACTTCATACAATTCATGAGAGTGTTGAAAAGAGTAATAATTAAAGATTTGGTCCATAAGGGTCCATTATATACAACTTTACTAAAGTTGGACTATAACTCATCAAAATCAAACAGTCATCTGGACCACCTTTTGGGTTTCCCATGCTACCTAGGCCCAAATTTCTTTAAACAATTACACACACACAGAGACAGAATGAGATAGAGAGTGGCGTGTAGGAAAATGAAATAAAATAATCCCATCAAGAAGTTAGCTAGTATATCATGACATTCATAGATTTTTATGTACAATGACTGAACAACACACTCCATAGTATTAAGGAAAAAAGTTGTAATCTGCAGTTCATTCTTGTGTTCAAACTTATCCAATGCCATCTACTAATTGTCACCTCAAACCTGAGTGGATACCTATGCATGTAGAGGGAACAACATGGAAAAAAGAAAAAGTTCGTTCAGAACAAAAATGAGATGAAAACTAATCCAAATCCGACAACATCAGGTCACACCTTGTATATTTTGAAATTCAAAGATCAGAACTTATTACTATTAGGGTTGAAACTTAACAAAAATCACAAACACATGGACATATAGACATTTTAATTACAACACAATAATATAGTATGTACCCATTAAGCCATAAATTTATATATTAAATATGCATAATTGAAGAAAATGAAAATGAATTTCACTTTTTAAAAAAAAAATCCTAGATGAACATAACTTATTAAACAGGTGTATTAACGTGTCTATGATCACAACTTACAGTTTTGAAATTGAAATTAATTAAAAGGAGAAACAGAAATAAACTCCTTTGAGTGGGCAATAAATGATTTAAACTCAAGCCTACATCAAACAACACATGAAATTACATACTTATACATGTGAATTAAATTCAAAAAAATTAGACCTCTAGAGATGTTT